TTATTTATTTATTTGAGAGAGAGAGAATGAGAGACAGAGAGCACGAGAGGGAAGAGGGCAGAGGGAGAAGCAGACCCCCTGCTGAGCAGGGAGCCCGATGTGGGACTCGATCCCGGGACTCCAGGATCATGACCTGAGCCGAAGGCAGTCGCTTAACCAACTGAGCCACCCAGGCGCCCAAGTTACAATCATATTTTAACATGCATCCTTTATACTTCTGAGGTTGGATAACTCTCCATATATTTATGTACTAACTGAATTTTATCTTCTATATCCTTTACCCAGCACCAATAGTACCTGTTACACAGCAGGCACTTAATAAATGTGTGTTGAATGAATTAATATATTCACTGGGCTTTTCCAATTTCTTATTTGTTTTTTTGTGTGTGTTTGTGTGTGTGTGTGTGTTTAAAGGAAAAAGATGTAAAACCTTTGTACTGAGACAAATATTTGCCTTAAGCCCCTTCATAAAAATCTGGAATATGTACTCCATGCTTCCCCAATCAGAGATGACACAGAACGTAATTTACCTTTTTTTTTAAGTTTATTTTTTTAGTAATCTGTACACCCAACATAGGGCTGAAACCCATGACCCTGAGATCAAGAGTCACATGCTCTTCTGACTGAGCCAGCTGGGCGCCCCTACTTCATCCTTTTTAAAAATTGATTCAGGGGCGCCTGGGTGGCTCAGTTGGTTAAGCGACTGCCTTCGGCTCAGGTCATGATCCTGGAGTCTCGGGATCGAGTCCCGCATCGGGCTCCCTGCTCGGCGGGGAGTCTGCTTCTCCCTCTGACCCTCCTCCCTCTCATGCTCTCTGTCTCTCATTCTCTCTCTCTCAAATAAATAAATAAAATCTTAAAAAAAAAAAAAATTGATTCAGGAGGGGTGCCTGGCTGGCTCAGTCAGTAGAGCATGCAACTCTTGATCTCAGGAGTCGTGGGTTCAAGTCCCATGCTGGGTGTAGAGATTCCTTAAAAAAAAAAAAAAAAAAAGCAGGGGCACCTGGGTGGCTCAGCAGGTTAAGCATTCAACTCTTGATTTCAAGACTCAAGTTACGATCTCAAGGTTGCAAGATCAAGCCCTGCATCAGGCATCATGCTCAGTAGGGAGTCTGCTTGGGATTCTCTCTCCCTCTCCCTCTGCCCTTCCCCCACTCGTACATGTGCACTCTCTCTCTCAAAAAATTAAATCTTTAAAAAAAAATAAGTTAAAATTCACTCAGGATAATCACTTACTGTACCAGATATTGACATTCAATCTTTATTTGATACATTTTTCTATTAAAAAAAAATCTTTTAGGGAAAGGCAGGTTTCATTTGATATTTTAAAATACTTAAGAGTTAAAGTACTTTTTTAAAAAATACAACTTAATGGTATTAGTTAATAAATAAGTAACAAAATAATAATCTCCCATATCTTTAAAATCTCTAATAATTACAAGGTTAGAATTCTGTATGAGGTAAAATAAGATTTATAACTTTGATATAAGACCTGAATTCCACACTTATGAAAGACATAGGAATAAAGAAAAAAAAACAACACTCAAATATTTTATTTTCAATCTTGATTTAAATGTAGCTTGATAGTTACGAACTATGATTCTCTCGAGAGAACTGAGGCAATTAAACTAAAGCTCTCCACAGATTTATACTCCATGGGAAGTACACTAAGCTATTCCTACCAGCAACAGAATGACTCTTCATTGTAAACTCTTGTTCAACTTTCAGAGGCAAGACTAACAGCAACTCTAAGCATTCCCTAGATGATTTGCTGGGTTTCTATATATGACACTTCCACCTTGTAAAAAGAACAGACCCATCCAGGCCCAGGTCAACAACTCATTAATGTTATATTTTCTCCCAGAACATGTTCAACCTATAAAGCCAGAACATGTGGCTCTTCAACATTTCTAAAAGATTTTCTTTCGCACATAAATTTGGATATTTTATTTCCAATGTGTGTATTTATATTATAGTATATATAATTCTAATACAACTTATATTTAATTCAACATAATATTCTAATACATTTTATATTCTTCTTTTTAAGTAGGCTCCGCACTGGGCATGGAGCCCAATGTGGGGCTTGAACTCGTGACCCTGAGATCAAGACCTGAGCTGAGATTAGGAGTCAGTCAGATGCTTAACCAACTGAGACAGCCAGGCACCCTGAATACATTTTATATTCTACCGTATAATTCTAGTAAAACAGTCTCTTCTCAAAAACAAAACTAACAAAAAACGTAAAGACCCATTTCAGCCAACCAAACCCCAAGACACCTAATCATGACAGCACCCACACTAAAGGTACCACAGTTGGCAATGAAGACACTCTGAACCAAGCATTTGGGGAGGAGTTTTCTTACTGGCAAGGATTCTCCTTCCCACGATGTTCTTGTTAGCAGTACTTTCCTCATCGCTCTGCCAGAGTTTCTATCAGCAAGAATTTCTTGGCAGTAAACTCACAATTTCCACCCACCAAAGGAAACTGAAAGAACCAAAGGCAACAACCAGCAACTTGAGAATTTTAACGTTGTTGTCTACCACAGTCCAGTAAATTGATTAAATTTCCATGTTACTAAATGTAAGAGAAAGCCACATTAAGTCCATTCAAGCCACAAACCAGTTTTCCTGTGTTTTGGATACAAACACTATTACCCCGTCTATCTTAAGAGTTGACAACAAAACTCCCAGTTTCTGTGCATTTCTATAAAAATCTCCTTTCACAAAAACGAGTAATTTCAAGTTTGCAAAGAATTTTAGTATTTGTTTCTAGTGTCTTAGTAAATGCTATTATAAAAAGGAGAACAAGTTGCCCCCAAATAACTGAGGGATATGTTTCAAAGCTTTTGTAAATAGCATTTGTGCATTGTTTAACATTTTATTTTATTTTTTTTTTAAGATTTTTTATTTATTTATTTGAGAGAGAGAGACCGAGAGAGAGAGCACATGAGAGGGGGGAGGGTTGGGAGGGTCAGAGGGAGAAGCAGACTCCCCGCTGAGCAGGGAGCCCGATGCAGGACTCGATCCCAGGACTCCAGGATCATGACCTGAGCCACCCAGGCGCCCCACATTGTTTAACATTTTAATTGCCCTCTTACACACATTACCTACTCTGATGTGTACAGCAACACTGTGAGGTAAACAAGAGGAACTTAACCACAGTTCACAGTTGAAAAGCCCAGCTCATACAGTTTAAGTGTCTAAGGTTACACAAGTAGAAAATGAAATAACCAAAACTCAGAACACAAGTTTTCTGTTTTTCTCATACCACACTGACTGTGTGTAAAGTGGAGCTCAGAATTTGAAATCTATCTTCCCACAAAAATAATATGGTACTTGGTGGTTTGGAGTCTAAACTAATCCACAAAGACCTCTTATTCACAAAGACTGAACTACTGAAAAGTAGTACAACGCTATACAGCTAAAAATGGATTTGTGCGGACTGACCTGAGCTCCTAACTTACACAGACAACACCTCTTTAGTAATAAATATAACCTATACCACAGAGAAAAGATCTTCTTGTATAAACGACTGGCCAATCTTCCCAATGCCCATCCTCTGAAGAAGGAACTAGACCATTCAGAGCAAGAATGGAGTGCAGAGCCACAAACACATCCTCTTCCTTCTTTCTGGTCCCAGTGGCCATTGTTTCTCCCCACCAGTGGAGATAAAATACAGCAGCTTCAGAAATAGTGTTTGCTCTCTGGGATTCTTGCAGTAGTTCACTGTCAGTCCCAAGTAGAAGCTGTTTATTCAAACAGATAAGCTCTGTGTCAGGTGTGTTAAGTCCCAAGTACCTAGAGCTGGCACAGTGAACAAGTTTTAGAGCACTCCAATGGGAATGATTCAGATTAGAATGGGGCTCAGGGGCAGGAAGGGTGGATGGGAGATGCCCATCACAGGCATGTAGGCACGGTTATTCAGGAAAATTCTTCTTTATTTTATACCCAAGTTAGAGAAAGTGATGAAATCAGAAAGAAGTGACTGCATTTTTTAGATATATTCATTTTATTTGCTCAAAATAAAAGAGGAATCTGTACTTGTCCATCACTCCATAGAAAATCCAGAGGATCAGTTAAGTACCAGGACAGTTAGTATAGAGGAAAGAACCTTGGAGAGCTCATACTTATCCACCAGGCATTCACTCCTATCAAACCCCCACGAAGGCTTTCCAGGACACCCACTACCCCCACATCCAGGCTACATGCCTCTCTGATACAGCCTCGCCCCATGTAAGCCCACAGCATCATGTACAGCATTCATCTCATGAGATTATAGCTGTTCAAAGAAAGGACTAAAGAATCAGAAATCACAGATTCTGTAGGTAATTCTTTTCTTAAAAAAAAAAAAAAAGATTTATTTATTTGAGAGAGAGAGCACACGCACAAAAAAGGGGGGGAAGGGCAGATGGAGAGGGAGAGACAGAATCTCAAGCAGATTCCACCAAGAGCAGAGCCCAAAGGGAGGCTTGATCCCACAACCATGGGATCATGACCTGAGCCAAAACCAAGAGTTTGACACTCAACCGAGCCACCCAGGTGCCCCTAAATAGTCTTTTCAATTATGTGAATTTAGCTAATTAACTTCTCTGAGTCTCATCTTTTTCTTAGATGAAGAGATGGAACTAATTTTTTTTTCAAACTACCACCAGGCTTCATTGCTCAAAATGCAAGCTAAACACTGAGAGTAAATGAGGACCCCAAAAAGACAGAGTCTAGATCCATGGAGGCAGGAGTGGGACTGGTGGGATGTTCCTTGCAAGGCAGCACTCCACACTGGGGAAGACCAAACTAATTTCTTATGGATCCCCCAGTTATAGAACCCCATTCAAGATAAAACTATATCAAATCATAGCAAGGTTCTTCATAAGACTGCAAAGTAAGTGGCACAGAGTATATAGTCAATAAACATTTGTAGAATACATTGGTGTTTTTCCCTGTTTCTATTCACAAGTAACCTGGATAATAGGCAAACCTGTCTCATTTTCAGTACTTACTTCCACAATCTTTAATATCTATAGTGGCAAATGGCATGTCTATTAGAGAATCCATAGCATTAGCTTCAAATTCTTCTGACGTTTCTTTTTCTCTTGATACATTTTCACACTCACTGGAATTTATTCCTCCTTTATCAAAAAGAAAAATGTATTATTTATTTTTTAAAATTATATCCTAAACTAAAACAAGTCAACCAAATTCAACATAAATTAACACCTGTTGAGAAATGATACTTGTATTCCAATATATTGTAAAGCTATATAAACATTATTTATACCATATTCTACATTTCTATAAATGCACTTTTATGTAAAACAGCTTTAATAATTTTCTGAAGCACAGTATTCAACTTGGGGTTAGATGAACACTGAGTTAATCAACAATCCCTAAGATCTTTTATAGCTATTTTCTTAACTCTAAAACTACATTTTTTCCACATACTTTTGAAAACAAATCAACAAAGTTCTGTCAGTCTCCTTCACATTTTTAACGACATCATGTATGTGTTTTCATTTGTACAAGTTCTGACCTTTATTTTTTTCAATAAAGACTTTTAAATTTTTTCTCTCCATTATTCTATTAACATTGGAAATTCATGGCTCCAAACATGCATGGTTCTGAATATGCTTTCCTAGAAATTCCATGATTAAAAAGCAAAAGATTTTATAGTTCTCCTGACAGCCCTGAACTATTTGCTAATATTAAAGACATTTGTTAATATTAAAGCCACATTTCACATTTGGTCTCTGTTTTCTAGTTCTGGGTGGAACAATCATATACCTTGGGTGGAGGTTAAGGGAAACAGGGTGTCTGTTTAAACTGATAAAATTGCTAAATGTATCAGTAGGTGGTCGTCCCAGTACCATTATTTTCCATGCTTTTATTGACAGAACACAAATGTTGTCTGAACTAGGACTGAACAAAATCTTGGGGTAATTGTATAATTTTTACCCTATGTATTTACTAAAGACTAATTTACCATTAAAGATATTAATGAAGTCATTTAATTCTTTCTGTTGTTGTAACCCTCTATTTCCAAATATAATACATAAACCACATTCCATTAAGAATATGGCTTACAACATACAACATAATAACTATCATGAAAAGTAATAGTAAACATGTATACCAAAAAATCTAAATTGTTATTGCAATTTGAGTGATCTCTATTCTCACACACATCACACACACGCACACCACACACATGCACACGCACATTTTCTAGATAAAAGCAAAAAAAATACAAAAAGATTTATATATAGTCATGTTTGATACCAAAACAAAGAAAAAAAGTAATAGTACATTCTTAATAATGATACTATTTATTTATCAAGTATGAGTGTCTGGCAAACAGTGTTCAATATTAGTTTACTATGAGCCTAATCACAGACTTACAACTATTTGAAATATGTGAAAACAAGTAAATGTTTCCTCTCTATTTTTATGTCTGCACTGAAAAATATAAATGCAGTTTATACCTAAACAAAATACATCAATACATATCTTGTACCTTTGGGCACATAAAGAATCATCACTGACCATGAAGCCTACACTTGAAAAGGTAGCAACAAAGAGTATTTGGGCAGTTAAATATGCACAGAGCCGAATGAAAATCAGAACAAAATGAAATAAACCCAACTTTTGTTTTTCTCTATTGTATTCTTAATCTAAGAACTTATTAATAAGTTCTGAAGATCTAATGTACAGCATGGTTACCGTAATTATACTGTACTATATACCTGAAATGTGCTGAGAAAGTAGACCTTCAGCATTCTCACCAAAAAAAAAAAAGTAACTATGTGAGGTGATGGATGTTAATTAACTTGACTGTGGCAATCATCTCATAATATATACTTATAAAAAATCATCACACTGTACACTTTACATATATACAGTTTTATTTGTCAATTACATCTCAATAAAGCTGGGAGGAAAAAAAGAACTCAGTGATATGAAATTGGCCCATTAACACTGGCATTTCAATTGTAGCTCTCAAGTCCCTGTGCCCCTCAGAAACATACTGGATTCCTGGCAATACGCGGAATGGCCTAAGAGGCTGACTTCTGTGCTCTAACCACATACTGTGAAGGCAAAAGGAAGACTTGAACGGCATGATGAATTAAATCTTGCCATTTTTTAAATGAAAAAAGTTATTGAAATACTTTTAGTTTATCTTGAGCTCCATTAACCAATAGTTAGAGAACAAGTGCTCTGTGGATCACTCTGGCTATACCAAAAGCAGAATCAGGAAGGGACAATGGTCACTGGTGACAACAGTGGCATTTGGATAATGATGCAAGGCAAGCTGGCCTTATAAGAGAAAGGGTTTGGTACCAGAAATTAGGAGGCAGATATTCCAGTGTTGTGTGCTGCCACCTCACCAACTGTGTGATCCCAGGCAATTCATAGGAACTCTCCAGGCCCCACTACGTATCTCCTCTTCTAGATGACATCGTTGTCCTGGTTAAAAAACTCTAAATCCTGGCTGCACTTTAGAATCACCTGGAGCTTTTTAAAATTACCAGTGTCTGGGTCCCACTCCAGGCCTATCAAATTGGAATCTCTGGACATCAGAGTAGCTGCGGGTATTTTCTCGAAGCCTCGCAGGGTGATTCTAATGTGCAATGGAAGTCGGAAAACCACTGCTCCCAAAGATCCCCCTCCATTTCTTCCGAACTTCAATCTTCACCAGACCAAGAGATTATGTTAAGAGTTGAGAATAATCAACTTAAAAGTAAAAACTCAGATCAGATGCTTCCTGTTAGGGAAAACTTTCCTGATTCCCAGCTCAGGGCTGAGTTAGGCAATCCCATCTCCTTCCCAGGACCTAGTGCTTCCTCCAGTCACAGGACAAATACATGCAGGCGTCCATTTGTCAGTCTTCTCCATCAGACACTAAGTTACAGCGATCATATAATCTACCACCCAAACTGGGACACCTGTGAAAGTGAAAGGGGGCACTTTTCATAATTACACCCCCATCGATAAGTACGGCCTCCCTAGTCTAAGTTCCTTAAGTGCCACGTCTTATCTTCATTTGATTCCTCAATGCCTAGTACAGTGTTCAGCTCACAGCTGGTGATCAATACATTTGTACTGCATGACTGGATACAGGTAAGCACACATTTGAGAGTGGTTAATAATCACTCAAGTTACATTGTAGTACAGCTATGCCAATGCCCAAGAAAACTCATTCCTGGTGTTTAAATGGCAGCTTCAGCACATCACAGATTCTCATTTTCACAGGATGATGAAGGAAAGGTACTATTATCCCATTTGACATAAAAATAAAAGGTGAAGGATATTAGTACTTGCTCAGTATCATTCTCCATCTTGTCAAATAAAACATATATAAACTCTTGAATGCAATGTTATGTCAAAATCAACAGTCTAGAACTTGAAATACAAACTTTGTCCCATGAAACTACAGAATAATAGAAACAATTTTGTAGGTATGAATTATTAACTCAGAAAAAAGAGAATGCCACTCCCAAATCACTCTTCAAAAATTGCTGGTCATTCTCTAGCACAATGTTTCTCAACAGAGTTCAAATCTGGAAGCCTTCCTCCAGTTCTCTAAGCTCCACTGTTTGGGCGAAGGTGACAGACGGGATTGAAAGACATCCAGCGTAACTGCACTTTCTTTCTACAGAAGCTGGAAGTATGTTGCTTTTGAAAAACTGCCTTAAAATAACGGACTCTTAAATAAAGCATTTAAACCATAAAATGGTCATTTTGAGTACTAAAAATGTGGTCTAACTAGAGTCAAAATAAAATTCTATCTTTTGCACAAATCCAAATAAAACGACAGCTAACACTTAAGTATGTAGTAACAGTAGGCAGAGCTGGAAGCACAGTATAGATAATGACTCATTTAATCCATACAACCATGCTATCAGGGAGGTACTATTAACTTACTGATTTTACAGACTAGCCAATTAAGTAACTTGCCCGAGGTTACAGCAAAGTTTGGGGTTGGAATTTGAATCCTGTCACTCTACTGTCAAAACTTCTTTTTCTGGCCACACACCCCACTGCCTCTCAACATCCGTAGTTTATGGAGCTGTAAAGTGAGGGAATGCTTTCAGAAAACACTCTGAAGCTATGAAAATGTTCTTCTTACTAACATATCTGTATCTATCACATATGCTGACCCCGACTCACCACAGCTTTGTTTAAAGGAAAGTGGAACAACTTAAATGCCCAGTAACAGAGAAACAAATGAAGCATATTCACTCTAATGACAACTACGAATAATGGCTATAAAGACTGCAACAACCGAAAAAAGTTTATAACAAATACTGACTTTTTAAAAAGCAAATACAACATTGCATATCTTCTGTCATTACAATTATATAGACAAAGTCTAAAGGATATAAATTATTTCTAACGCTGACCTAGCTGTACTCAAAATATTTGTATTCTTCCTCATTCTGTTATTCCAATATTTTATTTATTTATTTATTTGACAGAGAGACACAGCGAGAGAGGGAACACAAGCAGGGAGAGTGGGAGAGGGAGAAGCAGGCTGAGCAGAGAGCCCTATGTGGGGCTTGATCCCAGGACCCTGGGATCATGACCTGAGCCAAAGGCAGACGCTTAACGACTGAGCCACCCAGGCGCCCCTATTCCAATATTTTAAATAGAATATTACTTTTATAAAAAGAATTAATGCATTTAAAATATATTATAAAACCGTACATTAAGATATATGTGCACTTCAGCAAATGACTTTAAAGACAGGTCAACAAACGAAAAAAGGACAGTTTTGCTTTCTGTCACACAAAATGCAAGCTTCCTATTTGGATAATAAAATGTGACTTCATTAAGCAAGACTCTTCTGTTCACTCTACTAGGTATATCTGGGAGGTATGCTCCCCAAGAACCAATGGAAAGGGTCACTGCCGTCCATGCTAGTGAGGGCCTAGCCACTAAAAATAGCAGCATCTTACATCCAGATAAGTGTTGAGCTGTGTGATAATCAACAAGTCAGCTTTGGTTTCCTCTTCATAAAAAGAGAACAAAAATACAATCCACTACTAGAAAGAAATGGACTTAATACTGGGTGAAAAGGAACATAGGGAGACAGTAAACTCCAAAAACATCTTAAGCTTTGCCAACCCAGTATGAGTAAGGAAAAAGACCCAGATAATGCCACCAGTATCCTGAACTTCAAGGCCACACATGAAGCACAGAGCCAGGGTGTGGGTCTCCTTTCTCCCTGATAATCCCCCACCCACTCTCTACGCCCTCCGCACCCACCCACGAGTCTTAATCATTCATTCCCATAATGACTGTACACCTATTTCTATTCGTTAACGGCTATCATGTAACACATTTTAACATTTTGAGGCTCTTTCTCTTTTTATGCGTTTATACTACAAAAAGTGTCTCGCAGATGAGCGTCTTTTCTCTAATTGGTTTTTGGTCTCTTTCACCCCAAGTCCAACCCCTCACTAGCTCCACCCACCAAGTTCCGTTCACAATAATGCTGACCTAAGCTGGAAATGAATTCTGGACCCTACTACAGATTTGGCGCCAGTTTAAAAGAGGTCATTTCCACACCTAGCATAAAATCCTAAATGAAACAGCGCGGTGGCTCAGACCTTTAAGGTCTGGGATAGACAACGAAAACCGAGACTTTTCTGGGTTTCACTGACCACACAAACACCATGGGGGGGGGGAGCTTGAAATTGGAACTGAAGGTCACAAGATCAGAAAGGGGGAAGCAAAAGTGAAACTCGGGGCAGGTCTGCACCCCTCGCCTCCCGCCACACCAAGAGCGCGCGCACTGGAACGCCGGGTTCCAAGCAGCTCGGAGGACGCCGGGTTGCACTAGGCTCCTCGGCGCGGCCCGGAGTCCCGCCGGCACTGACGGAGAGGAGACCCCGAGCGCGGAGGACGTGAGGTCGCGCTCCCCGCGCTCCCCGCGCTGGGGACGCCGGCGGGGCGGCGAGGCCCGGCCCTCCCCGAGGCTGAGCGCTGAGCCTCCGGCCGCCCCACCCGGCCCGCTCGGCAGCCCGGGCTCACCGGCTCCGGGGCGCTCCATGGCGGCGGCGCTAGCGGACAGCGCGTCTGGGCTGGCGGTGGCGGCGGCTGCCAAGCGCTGCGGCCCAGAGGTGGGCGCGAGGCGGAGGCGGAGACCGGGGCGGGGCCGGGGGCGCGCGGCCGGGGCGCGCGGCCGGGGCGGGGGGCGGTGGCCACGGGGGGCGGCGCGGGGGGCTCGGGCCGCGGCGAGCAGGCGGGCGGAGGCGCCGAGCCCCCAGAGCCGCAGGGCCCGCGGGAGCTGCATGGCCAGACCCGGCGCCGGGCAGCGGCGGAAGGGGCCGGCCAATTAGCCGGTGGTACCCGGATTGGGGCGTCCGACGCGAGCCCCGCGCGGGGAGGGCAGAGCGGGCGCCGCGACCGGCGCGGCGGAGAGCTGGGGGCGCTTCTCTGCCTGGCGGCGCTCCGTCCCCAGCTGCGCTCCCGACCGGGAGGCCTCCTGCGGCCTTTGGCAGCCCTCAGGCACTTCCCGTGGCGCGGCCTTTCCCGCCCCACGCTTTGAGATTAGGGTGAGATTGGGACCTGCCTGCAAGCATTCCATGGCCCGCGGTCTTCTAAGGATCCGTGTGATTAGTTTTGCAAAGAGCTTCCAAAATAGTTCTGATTACAAAATATTTGGAAAGAGCGAGATGTACAAGAATGAGACCATGTCCGTCTGTATAATTAAATGTCTTATTTACTTTGCTTTTTTTTAAAAAAAAAAAAAAAGGCAAATTGTGGCAAAGTCTCGAATTTTTAACAATGGTTTTCTGCCTAGAAATGGAAACCAGCTAATTGATTTTTTGCAGATTAAAGCACTGGTACGAGTAAAATGGGAGAAAAAGCAATTTACTTAATGGGGGGCTGACCTTGGAACAGAATTCTACTGGACTTTTAAGTGCAAAGAAGCCATGCAGTAAGAAAAATTAGGTGCACCCCTCAAATTAACGTAGCCTATTTCGCAAATGCCGCTTGACTGATCTTGAATGCATCCTAGGATAGGAATGGAAGCAAAGACGACCTTGGCACAACCACGATAGTTGATGTAAAGACCATGCACGGGAAGTAATAAAGCTTGTTACTCTGATTCTAAAATGATTCTAGCAAGTTGAGTATATGATTTGCACACTCATAGCAATTATGGACTGATTAGAGAGGTACAACGGGTTCCCCTAACATTCACTGCCCTGAGGTTGTACAGGTGAATAAGACAGGTCTTTTTCTTAAGGAACTGATCACCTAATAACAGAGAAAGAAACATGAGTTTCTGCAATAAGAAACTAAAAGCTGCAAAAAAAAAAAAAACGTAACCCACGCCTATATTGAAGGGGATAAGAATATGCCACCCCAGGGGCGCCTGGGTGGCTCAGTCGTTAAGCGTCTGCCTTCGGCTCCAGTCATGATCCCGGGGTCCTGGGATCGAGCCCCACATCGGGCTCCCTGCTCAGCGGAAAGCCTGCTTCTCTCTCTCCCACTCCCCCTGCTTGTGTTCCCTCTCTCGCTGTGTCTCTCTGTCAAATAAATAAATAAAATCTTAAAAAAAAAAAAAGAATATGCCACCCCAAAAGATGTCACTTGGACATCAAGATTTGGGGCTGGGAGCAATTGAGAAACAGCAGTGAAAGAATTCTGCCCTCTCCCTTTATGCTAAAAGCAGGGCATAAATTTCACTTTGTGAGGGTGACATAAATTTCCATTTGTAAAGATGTTCCCCAATTCCGGAAGAGGTAGAAATCCTATCAGCAGAGAAGAGTAACTCATATCTGCATAATGAACCTTATTAAACAACCTTTATTTACCAGACATTTCCTAGTCACCACCTGAAAGCAGACAAAGTCTTAGTATTTCCAAGTGCATAGAGGTTACTCAATGAATAGTTGTTGAATGAATGAAACTTTTATAAGCATCAGATCTGTTTAAATACTCAGATATGTCAAAAAAAGAAAGCAACACACCCAAATAAATTTCATAAAAAAGAAACAGTATCATAAGTAATGATGTCCTAAAGCTTCACAGCCTAAGGCAAAAAAACAGCTGACACTGACATTAACATGTGAGTGTTAATTGCTAAATGAACCTACCTGCTGTAGCAAGAACTCTGGTGAAATACCTCCAAAATACATCTGGGGTTCTAAATGGTGTCTGACATCGCTAATGAATCTTCCAGGCTGCCTTTGCCTCTCTGAGCCCCTCCAGTTCAGTCTCCTTTCCAGGAAGCTCTTGGTCCTCACCAGACCTCGGCTGATTGGTGGTTCACCTGGCCACATGGATCGTCTCAGTCCTCAGGGTTACAATCTCTTGCAAATGAGAACACCAGTTTTACCCCGTGCTTTACATTCTGCTTGGTGGTACTGAGAGAGAGGCGGAGACAGAGACAACAGACCCAAAATGGAGTCACTTATGCTAAGTGTCACGTCAGTAAACCAGCACTTCATATCTAACCTAATGACAATTTCAACCTCTCCCAGTAAAGTAATCTTAAACCAGTAAATTTGGAATTTCTTGGTCAGCACTAGTGAGGTAATCCACCTGATAGACCCCTTCTATCCCCCAAAGAAAGATAATGTAATCTGCCCTTTCCTTGTCCCTGCCCTCTTTTGACTATAAAAGTCTCACATTTTGTTCACCTATTTAGAGCTCCTTTTTATTTGCTAGGTGATATGCTGCCCCTTTTGATGAATCATTGAATAAAGTCAATTTGATCTTCAAATGTATTCAGTTGAATTTTGTTTTTTAACAATGGATAAGGTGACACAGAAGATTATTTGGACCTCTGAGAGATAATTCATTGAGATAGCATGTTCCTTTTGTTAAAAACAAGACAACAGGCCCAAAACAGAATCACTTATGTCAAGCCCCACATCACCAAACCAAGACTTAATTATAGTTTCAACTGTCCTAGAAATGGAATCTTAAACCAGTCAGTCAGGAGTCACCTGATCAGCACTAGTTAAGGAATCTGCCTGATAGATCCCTGCCACCTCCTCAAGGAAAATAACCTTGCGAGAATCCACACAGTTTTTGTTCCTAGTATAACCTCCTTGTTCCCATCCCTTCTGCTCATAAGAGTCTTTCATTTTGTACAGCTCCCCATCCAGAGCTCCTTCCTCTCTGCTAGATTAGATGCCACCAGCTTCAAAACAATGTTTGCTCAAATAAACTCTTAAAAATTTAATATGACTCAGTTTATCTTTTAGCAGTTCACACGCACAGCCTTTTTCTCCCCAGAGGACAATGTACAGTGCCAAGAGAACTGGATTGGAAGGGTTCCAGTTCAAGCTGCAACAACACTCCTGGGCTCCCACCCTCTCTGACCTTCAGGGCCTGCTGCTGAATTGGCTCATGCATCTGGCCAACTCCTTGGTTCTCTTTTGGGTTATGGTCTCATCCCCATGCATTTCTACCAAAACAGTTATTGCTGCTTTAGTTTTTGTCCTAGAAGTTTCTTTGGTCCTCCCAATAAACTACATCTACAAATGGTTATCAAAGAAAATGAAGTCACACAGTTCCACAAGACATAGCCAGTTATCAGTAGAAAGTCAACTGCGGCCCTTGGTCATCCAGGGCAACTCAGGAGGACCTTTCATTTTGTTGGATGAGAAATGTGTGTTTAACAATAAAACATGTATGCTTTTAAATTAATGTTTGAGTATAACATTTGTTTAAGAAATCACTGTTCATTACATTAAAAAGAATAATAAAGGGGACAAAGGGAGGCCACGTTTATTACATTTAAAAAAAATCATCACACCTATTTAATAATAGATTTATTTCAGTAGCCAGTCACAATTAAAAGGTCTGAAAAATTAAATGTCAAGAAACAACATTTTAAATTATTTTAAATATTTCTGACTTCAAATTTCTAATTTTGTTTTAAGATTTTATTTATTTATTTGACAGAGAGAGACACAGCGAGAGAGGGAACACAAGCAGGGGGAGTGGGAGAGGGAGAAGAAGGCTTCCCGCCGAGCAGGGAGCCCGATGTGGGGCTGTGTCCCAGGACCCTGGGATCATGACCTGAGCCAAAGGCAGACGCTTAACCGACTGAGCCACCCAGGCGCCCCTCTGATTTCTAATTTATATATGTAACTTGTGTTGTTTTATACAATTTTTAAATTCAGGAAAACTCATGGAATAACATTTAAAATTAACTATAACATATCAAGCAGAAGTATATCTCTCTAGATATAGACATACATACACACACGTGTGCTATAGCATGTATTTTATAAATATAGAATAATATTGCATCTGGCCTTGTAACCTGCATTTTTCCTTGCAATATATTGTGATTAATTTCACAGTCATTAAATATTCTTTTATACCATAATTTCAATGGCTGAATATTAAATCTTTATACAAATGTGTTTCCTGGAGTATGCAATATTCATTCATCCTGTCTATCTCTGCTACTCCATCAGCTTTCTCTGCTTATATGTGTTATGTGGACAAGCACTGAGGTTCATGCGAGGGGGCCCATACTTGGGAGGTTCCCTAAGCTGCTGACACATACTTGCTCTATTGGAAAGGTACAGAGACAAGTACCCCTGTCTACAGGTGTCTCATGTACACCTAATGCCTCATGATTATTAGATACCTGTTGGTCCTTCCATCCCTTTTAACATGCATCTACATTTAACAGATACATGCTTCCTTTACTCACCATTCATCTGTATATAATACATCTTCATTCATTCATCTTTTCTTCTATAACAGAAGAAACAATTACAACAGTTTCCTTTTCTTAACGGATCTGAATATTCTTCTATATCAGATCTGAAATGCAAGTGCATCTTGCAAATCTAACAAAATTCTCTAATCTGCTGCCATTTTAGCAAAACTTTCTAACTCACCTTGGATTTCAATTTAGCATTAGAGAATCTCCACAAAGCCTGACCTTAACTTCTGGGTTGTATTTAATTCTCCTAGCACTGAATAACTCCTACTCTGTTTCCAAGGTAACAATAAAAGGAAAAGGTTGTTTACCCATCTAGATACTCCTCTTGGTTTTAAGATTTGTACTTTTCCCACCCACTTAGCTCCTTATTAAAACTCCTCATTGTGGGGGGTGCCTGGGTGCCTCAGTCCGCTGAGTGTCTGACTCTTGATTTCAGCTTAAGTCATGATCTCAGGATCCTGGGATTAAGCCCCCTCATCAGG